TTTTTAGCCTTAGTGCTTACGCTCTTCTATAAACAAAACTTACGTGCCACGGAGCCGCCAGCGAAAAACAACAATTTCATATCGTGTGCAACTTCAGTTCGGCTTTGGCAAATTATATAATTGAGCTTGAGAACTATCCAAAAGGTGAACGGAGTTTCAAAGCTAAGTTTACAGTATTCTTTCTAAGTTTTGCCCCTTTACACTGTCGATTTGACTCACGGTGAAAACATTGTAAAATTTAACGGCATTTTATGGTTTCGTTGAGGTGTCCGCTGACCAATAAAATACTGTATCGTGCCTTAAAAAACGTATTTCTGCGGTGTCCCTTGGCTATAAAAGCTTTTCCTTTCTGCCCCATTATTTTACTGTTCGTCTGCATCATTCTTTTGCATTAATCCAGACCTTTCTTGGTTCACCTCGCCGTGTACATGTGCATAATTGTCATTTGAGCTCTATTTAAACTCAAATAATTATCATTATCATTATCAGCATTATCATCTTTGACATTATTATTCTAATGAGCGCTTCACATGAACAAAAGCTGAAATGGGAAAAAAAAGATGTTTTTTTCTCTTATAAGGATGGTAAAATCAACATCAACTCCTGTTACAACAACAGAATAAAAAATACGTACCAGCATAGTAAGTCGTTTTTAAGATGGAAATCATCGAAATAGATTCTCAAAGCCATTCCGTGGGTAATATTAACATGATATACACAATACATATTTCGCGGATAGTTATTTGGATATCCAGGACTTTTCAGCAAATTGTTTCTCATGGAGCCACAGCCTGCAAGAGGAAAACATAACGCACTGAACAACCATAATTATAATGATAACATTAACAATAATAGTATTAATAACAATAACAATAATAAACTTAACTCAAGTCAAAATGTACATAGGAAAGAAAACTTTAGATGATAATCGATGAGTTTACTTAGGGATCAGATTTCCTTTAATTTAAGGAGCATCTGTAGTAGATAAAGTAGCTGAAGTATTTGCAGGACTTGAAGAAGGTAAAGCATCTATAGCAACTGAAGTAGGTGAAGTATTTGTACGATCTGAAGTAGCTGGAGAATTTCTTGTACCCGAGGTAGGTGTGGAAAAACGTATAAGGCCAAGATACGCTGCACCTGTGGCAAACCAGTTGTATCCCCATGTTAAATTGAGGGAGTTTCTTCCATTTAGCTTTTACAGATAACCTTTTCTAAAAACAGTGAAAAAAACTTATTTCCAAACTGAAACAAAAATAATGAAATGATAGTTCTAGTCAAATGGTACATAGGAAAGAAAACTTTAGATAATGATCGATGAGTTTAGTTAGTCATCACATTTCCTTTAATTTAAGAAGCATCTGTAGAAGGTAAAGTAGCTGAAGTATTCGCAGGACCTGAAGAAAGTAAAGCACCTATAGTAACTGAAGAAGGTGAAGTATTTGTACGATCTAAAGTAGCTGGAGAATTTCTAGGACCTGAAATAGGTGTAAAGTAACGTATAAGACCAAGATACGCGAAAGCACAGTTAGGACACGTAGAAGATCATACGGCACCTCTGGCAGACCGAATGCATTCGCATTTTTTGAGCTTTACAGTTAAACTTTTTAATGCCCAATACACATACCAATAAAGGAGAAGAGCAGAGAGAATCCTCTTTCCTCCACAATAAAGTCCGAGGAGAATGTGATCACGGCAAAGGCTCCCGTTACATGAACTGTTGTTCCAGTCTCCTCTCCGCAGTATGTACCAAATGTGTCCCCATCTGAGTTGGCAATCTTCACATAGTCATAACTGTATCAAGAAAAAAAGGAAGCGGTCTCGTGTCCTTTTTAGCGTTGATTTCGATCTCTTTTTGGCTCATTTCACTGTATATTTCTAGCAACAGTACATCTTGGCTAGTATGAGCTCGGACTTCCCCTTTCTGTTCCATCACTTTACTGTTCCTTTGCATCATTCTTATCG